AGGCTTCAACCTGGCGTCGTAGCGAGTCGCGATTGATTTACGTACAAATAAGCGAAACTTTGATCGGTCTCTTTCAAGAGACCCGAGAGAGAGAGAGAGAGAGAGAGTGAGAGAGAAAGAGAGAAATAAAAGACGGGAAGTTTCCTAGGATGTTACCAAACGGTATCGGCCCTTGCATCCGAATTGACGACGGTCATACGCACCCATAGAAGATAAATCGCAACTTTCTTCCCGTCGCTCATTGCGATATCGCCTCTGGCTCGCGAACAAAGATTCTCTTATAAAGCCACGCCCACGCGTTCGGTATCTTTTATTTTTCAACTCCCACCCTTGCCCGCTATCGGTCGGAAGGAGAAAAGAGATACAAAAAGCCTAAAGATAAAGAAAGATCGGTAACCGAAACGGTCGAGGGTCTAGAACCGTTTTGGACGTGAAAGCGAACGATTAAACAGGCTTGAATGGAGGTGCTGGCTCGTGTAGCCTCGCGCCAAAGAAAAATCTCTGAGTTAATTGATAGACCGCTTTGACGATAGAGTTAAAAGGGGGGAAGAGCGCGATGGAACGAGACAGAGATGCCAAGAGGGAACCATACGTGAACCAGAGGGATACAGGGAGTCAGATTGAAAGAACGAAAGGAACGTTTGCAGCCATTGTGAAATAGGCTTTACCAAGGGCAGGAGAAAGCAAGCCGGCTCGCGGGCGTTATAGTTCAACCCAGTTGGCTTTCCTATCTGCCTATCTGGTCTATCTGGCTCTCGGAGCAGCCAGCCGGAAGTCGCTGGGAAAGAACGCGTCATTGTTACGAGACCATGAGCCAAAGAGGCCCGAACCGGCTAGATGAGTTTATTCATTTGGGATTTCGTTGCGGCGAAACGATTTCGGTCAGCTTTATTTCCATCTGCGCCACGGTGGCTTTTACTTTGATCCCATTGCTCCTATTGCCGATCGCAGCTCTCTCTCTCTCTCTCTCTCTCTCTCTCTCTCTCTCTCTCTCTCTCTCTCTCTCTCTCTCTCC